AACCTACCCTCCTCTCTCTCTCTCTCTCTCTCTCTCACTCTCAAAACAAAACAAAACAAAAAAAACTGGCCAAGCAAAAAAGGTTTAATTTCTACAAAACAAAGGTTCCCATACCAAGTTTTCATCTTCTTTAGCATCCAAAGAATTTGCAACTGGTCACCAACCATCTCTCTCTCTCAAAAATAAAAATAAATTAACTGGCAAGGCAAAAAAGGTTTAATTTCTACAAAACAAAGGTTCCCATACCAAATTTTCATCTTCTTTAGCATCCAAACAATTTGCAACTGGTCACCATCCATTAATGTTCATTATGCAAACAAGTTGCAACTGGACCCCAGCCATTAATGGCCATAGCCAAAAGCAGTATCAAAATATTGCCCAAACCAGTGACAAAGCAATTAAAACAAATGAAAACAGAAAGGGTGCTTTCATAAATGGAAGGAATAAGGAAAAAAGGCTTACAAAAATATCTAATAAGAAAGGGCCTCTTTTCTTGTAAACAGGGGTGAAGAACCACTAGAAAGCCTATTCTTAAGAACTAAAAAGAAAAGCATTCAGATGTCATATTTCCTATAGCTTTTTTATCTTATTCTTTTTCATAAAATATTTATTTTTATTTAATTTTTGTTACAACAAAAAAAAGGGAAACCATGACCCAAAAAAAAAGCCTATAAAAAGATGCAAAGAGTATGGAAATTTTTTATTTTTTTTTATCAAATAATGTGTACAGTTTTAATGCAAAAAAAATGGAAGAATTATTATTTTTCTACAAGTTCAAAAGTATGTAATTTTAGACCAAAAATGAAAGAAGATGAGGAATTGGGTGCATCTAAATCACAGGAAAAGTTGAACTTAGAAAAAAGATGCCCCTTATAAATCAATCTCAACAATCTAAACCAGTAAGTATCAAATGAACATATTAAAAGAATAAGTGGGTATAACCAACAGACAAAAGAGATCCAGATAAAACTACTTCTTTGCATAAAGGATTAATTTATCTCCTTCTTTTTTATAGTTAACAGTTGATCTACGAACTCATGGATAATTTTGGAAGATCTCAATAAGAAAAACGCAATAGTTTGCACCAAACAAAGGAAAAGAAAGGACTTTCTTAAAAAAAAAGCGAAAAAAAAAAAAAGGTCATTGGAAACAAGATCAAAGCCTCCTCCAAACGACTGTATTTAAATACCCATAAAAACGGAGAACATCCTCAACAGATCTGAAACATAATTTCATGAATCATATAGCATCAAATAAGCGAAGGCAAAAGAAATAAGAAAAAGCGATGTATTTTTGTTAAATGGAAAAAACGATTCTCCCAGAACAAATTCAAATTTCTAAACCTTCTTAAAACAACTCAGCCGCAACAGTGAAACCAAAAAAACTAGAAATCAATGGGTAAATCGCAAAAAAAAAAAGGCCTAAATACTAATAATAATCAGAGATAAACAACATTCATTCAAGAAATCAATGCAAAACAATATTCATGAAAAAATAGACTTCACCATTAAAAAAAAGAAAAAAAATTATAGAATCCTTCAAAGTATTCTACAGCATTAACATTTTAGAGCCAAAAATCACAAAATCCAATTTCTAATCCCTAGCATAAACACTCAAAAAAACAATCAACCTCCAGCTTCAACTTTCTTCATCTCTAAACAAAAAATACAAAAAAGAAAGAGTGCCCATTTTTAATAAATCAAAGTATCATTGAAATGTGCCTTTTCCATTCATTAAAATAAATAAAAAGTAAAAAAAGAGAAGAAGAAGAAGAAGCTTCATACCTTAAAGCCAGAAACCAGAAAAGTAACCGAAAAACCCAAACCGCCCTCTTTCCCGAATCGTATTTGGCCTGAAAACTCGCCGGAAAAACAGAGCACGCCTGGCTTTTCTACCTCCTTTTCGCCCGGAAATTCCCCCACCCCTGAACCGCCATTTATATGGGCCAAGACAACGCCTTTAAAAAAGCAGTCGTGGGGCCCATGTCATTTCAACATGGCGCTCAAGCTTCGTTATTGCTGTAGCAGACATGTGTCAATATCAAATACGTCCTGCTCGCCTAAGCATCGGTTTTCACGATTACGAACCCCAACCGTCGGCAATCTGATGGTGAATTGTGACCCTCCAGTTGTCTACGTCTCTGCACTAGGTGTTGAAATATCTCGCTCTCAACAGCTTTATAGGGTGCTCCCGAGGGCGCCTACTGTGTAACTAATCCTTCGGGCTAAGAGTCACCTGACGGGTGCATAGATTATACGTCAGCTCCCTTGGGTAGACGACCTACCCAAGAAGGTTTTTCAAGTTTTGGGAAACCATCTAAGAATCGCTAGATCGTCTAGGTGATTATTTTCAAAAGATAAATTTAAATTTCCAAAATTTTTCATATTCCGATGTAATCGTCAAGAATTGAACAGTCTCTATTTGACCTTGAGTAATTATTTTCACAATTCATTAAGAGTGCAAGTTTGAATTTTTCTTTTATAAAATTTTGCTGCATATGGCCTAGACCTCATTTCTACATTATGCGATCCGGAGGTATAAGGCATTCATCTTAAAGATATACAAATAAGTGCTCCATCTAAAACACTGGTAAGTAGGGGTTCAAATGTTTTTTTAATATAGTTATTATTTTTATTTTTATTTTTTGGTAAAAATTATATATATATATATATATATGTACTAGTTTCTGTTATTACCAAAATACCAAATAGTTTTTGTTATTATTGGAATGTCCGTTTTTTCACTTCATAAAAAAATTTAAAAAAGAATTTTTTACCCTTTTTCGGTTTTCGATCAACTGAAAATTGCTGGATTTTCGGTTGTTCAAAAAATGAAAATGAGCTAATTTCGGTTCTTGAAAAACCGAAAATAGCGGGGCTCGTTTAAGCTTTTGGAATACGTAGTTCTATTTTCGGTTGTTCAACATCTGAAATTATCATATTTTCGGTTGTTCAACATCTGAAAATGTCATATTTTCGATTTTTCAATATCCAAAAATATCCTATATCAACAACCGAAAATAAGAACTATGACATTTTCGGATGTTGAAAACCGAAAATATAACATTTTTCAAATGTTGAACAATCGAAAATAAGACTGCATATTCCAACAAGCATCTGGAATATGCAATCCTATTTTCGGTTGTTCAACACTAGAAAACAAGATATTTCCGATTGTTCAACAACCGAAAATTAAAATGCAAATTCCAAGCTTCTGCCTATTTTTGGTTATTCAAAAAATGAAAAAGGGTAAAAAGTCTTTTAAAATTTTTTTGTTATGAAGTGAAAAAAACGGACATTCCAATAATAACGGAAACTATTTGATATTTTGGTAATAACATAAACTACAACGGATATGTACGTAATTTTCCTTTATATTCACAATCTCCATGTTAAACATTATTTATTCACTAAAATTAGAATCAAATTATATTTAGAAAAATAATAGTTCCAAGCATGCATTTCTATAATATGTGGGCTGGCTGCATAGAAACCATACCCTTCTTTTTTTATTGAGGTTAGTGGTTATATTGTGATGCAAATAAAATTGGAGTTTATTTACTTTTTATTTTTAATTAGGGATAGGAAGGGATAAGTTAAGAGGGCCTAAGTTGGGTGTGTGATTTGTTTAGGGAAGTCAATCTTTTTAGTTTAGAGAATACCAAATAGATAAGGTAAAGATATTTTGATTTAAAAAAGGGCAAGGTTTCTAAGTTTCCCCTATAGCATAGAACTTTTATCCTCCCTTTTATCATCCCCCTTATCCAACTGTCCATTATGAATAAACGGCTAATATTGCCTCAATCACAATGTCACGTTTCTACACTATTTTATTTTTAATTTTTTTTTCTATGAACTATTTTGACCCCAAATTTTGGACGTCCATTCCTCTATTAAACTTGCAATAGCGAAAAAATAAAATAAAAATATTTAAATAAAATAAAATGACCAAAATACCCTTGAAAGTTTCAAGGGGTATTTTTGTTACTATATTTTATCAAAAAAATATTTTAAACATTTTTTATAGGTGTACCCCAATGAGAAGACGACACGTACCAAATTTCATATTCATAAAAATTGTATAAAAAAAACTAAAAATAAAATACTTTGAGACGTTGGATCTAAGATCAAACGGTGAGTGGCTCTCTTGATCAAAATTGGACGGCTGGAAGGTAGGGGGAGGATAGAACTTCTATGCTATAAGGGAAGCATAGAAACCTTTCCTTTTAAAAAATAATAAGTGGTAGTTATCTTTTACTCTTAAAATAGTCATTTTCTATTTTTTAATTAAGGATAGGAAGAGATGAGTTAAAAGGGCCTAAGTAGGGTGTGTGATTTGTTTTGGGAAGTCTATCTTCTTTTAGTTCAGAGAATAACATATAGAAAAGATAAAGATCTTTTAATTAAGAAAATAATAAGTGGTAGTTATTTATTACTCTTAAAAAGGTATTATTTTTTATTTTTAATTAGGTATAGGAAGAGATAAGTTAAGATCAATGACTTAAAAATCGACTTGCCCGGTTCGATTCTAGAGAAGAACCGCCGGTTCCCACGGTTCCCGGTTCAAGCGGTTCCCACACGTGGGATACACACCACTCCCACATGTGCCACACGTGCGACACACGTGTGATACGCACCACTCCCACATGTGCCACACGTGCGACACGCATGTACTAATGCTCTAGTGTTTTCACATTTGTGTTTATCTTTCAATTACATAGTTATTTATATAGCATATTTGAATACTCATCCTTCGATATGGGCTAATTCCCAAACATCATTAAATGAAAACATAATGTAAACATATGGTATTAATAGGCAATTTTAAACACGTATACTAAGGGCATGATGGCTATCACTAATGTTATTTGCTTTGACTTCTCAAGTTCGAATCCCCCCTTGGGCCATGTAATAGTTTATCCCTTCTTGAGCTAATTTTTATTCCCCCTTGGGCATATAAAATTAAAGTGTTATTTTTAAAATTTGTACGCATTTTATTAATTTTTACATTGATAATCAAATCTTTTGTTTTATTTATTAATTTTTACATTATAAATCATGTAATGTACTATTTTTCTTACAGTTGTCAATAATACATTTTAAATTAGATAATTTTATAAGATATTTTTAATTTGTTATTATTTATCTAATAAAATAATTATAAAATGTAAACTAATAATTTTAATTTTAGTATATAGTATTATAATTAGTTAGGTTGTGATAATTTTGGATTATAGTTAGTTAGGCTGTAATAATTTACGTTTTTTAGCGGATTAGGGTTATTCGCCAAAACGAGATTTTAATGGCCATTCTTTAATTGATTTAGTCTACTCTTTATTATAGTCCATGTATAATTATATATTTTATCCATTATGATTCTATGATTTTTCTTTTATGTGATGCAAATTTAATACTTAAATTTATACAGGGAAAGAGCATCTCAATATTCACAAATTGATGAATAAAATGAAAGTTAATAATGTAGTACCCTCATTTCTTATTGGATTCCTAAAAAACAACATTTATAATGAATTTTAATAAATTTTTCGGATTTTTTTGAAGCTTTCATCCGATCGATTCAGCCGATTCCCGATCCGGATTGCTGATTTGCCGATCCGGATCTGTTTTTGAGGTGCCCGATTCGGACTCCGATCCACTTTTTAAACCATTGGTTAAGAGTGCCTACGTAGGGTGTGTGATTTGTTTTGGGAAGTCTATCTTTTTAGTTTAGAGAATAACATATAGATAAGGTAAAGATCTTTAGGTTTAGGAAATAATAAGTGATAGTTATCTTTACTTTTAAAAAGGTTATTTTTTATTTTTAATTACGGCTAAGAAGAGATAACTTAAGAGGGCTTAAGTAGGGTGTGTGATTTGTTTTGGGAAGTCTGTATTTTTAGTTTAGAGAATAACATATAGATAAGGTAAAATTTAGGAAATAATAAGTGGTAGTTATCTTTTACTCTTAGCAAAGTTATTTTTTATCTTTAATTAGAGATAGGAAGAGAAAAGTTAAAGGGGCATATATTGGGTGCGTGATTTGTTTTAAGAAGTCTATCTTTTTAGTTTAAAGAATAACATTTTGGTTTAGGAAATAATAAGTGGTAGTTATCTTTTACTCTTAAAAAAGTTCATGTAGAGGTTGGAAAGAGAGAAAAATATAAATGGCATGAGAGAGGAAAAGTGAGAGATAAAATAGGGAGGAGGAGAGAAAATAGCGAGGGGAGAGATAAGGAAAAAGTTCATAGAGGGATTTTTCGTATTTGTTTTTTTTTTTTGGTCCATTTAAAAGGCAGATGTTCATTGTAAACCATCAGATAATGAATATTGAGTAAAATTGATCTGGTGAAAAGATGCAAATTGAGTAAATTTGATATTGTGAAAATATAGTAAAGTCGATCGCTTTTTTTGGTGATTTTGAGAGATGGTATATTGTGTAAACCATTTCAACTTGATCTTGTGAAAAGATTTGAATTGAATAATCATTTGAGGGTGAGAGTATATTCTCTCAACCATTTTAATTTTTTATTGATATTATTTTTTCCTCCATTGGTTGGTATTAGAGCCCTAAGATCCATGTTGATATGGGGAGCTTTGATTTCCGTGATCTAATTATGGAAGATGTTCAAAGCGAATTTCATGTTATCAATCAGCGGTTGTCGTTATTGGATCAAAGATTTGAGAGACTCAAAGAATACCTAGTAGAGCACATTAGCAAAGTAGTAGAACATTATTAGATCAAAGATTTGAGATACTAAAGAATATTTAGTAGAGCACATTAGCAAAGTAGCAAAACAAGGTCTACGAGATTTCTTTCATACATTATAATCGGAACAAGAAGAAGAAAAAAATTTCTTTCATAGATTACAATCAAAACAAGAAGAAGAAAAAAATTTCTTTCATGGATTACAATCGGAACAAGAATATTTCTTTCATAGATTACAATAAGAACA